ACCCCGACGGGGTGGGCGTGCAGATCGACACCATCACCCCGGAGATCCGAGCCCTCTACAACGTGCTGGCCAAGGTGAAGAGGGAGCGCGATGAGTACAAGCGCAGGTGAGAAGGGAGACCGGGAGCGAGGAGCCCCGGCAGCATCCCCCGAGGGACCGAAGGGGTCACCGGGGAGGCTGCAGGGCTCTGCCCCCTGGGCACTGTGCGGGAGAAGCAGGGAAGGAAGGAGATGGCTCTGGCCAGACTTCCCAAGAGCGCGGGCTCCAGGCAGCATGAGGTGCGGTTGCAGGGCAAAAATGTGGACCCCTGAAAGCATTTGTCTATGTCTGGGTCTCCTCGCTTGCCTCTTGGCGTGTGAACCTTCTCGGGATGCTCGGTGAGCCTTTTTTCCATCTTACCAACACGGCATGAGTGACTAGAAATGCCTTTCCAAGCAGGGAAGAAATAACATGACTCCAGGAGCTATGTTTTAAAGGGGAGAGGATCTGGAAACACTCGGGAAGGAGGAGCAGCCAGAAAGGTGAGGAAGGTGGACAAGCAGCAGTGAGGGGGTTTGGTTGGAAAAGGCTGCTGGGAAGAGGAGAGCTCTCTGGATATGTCGGAAGGTGTTGGGAAGCCCCTCAGCAGGGTGGCTGGCTCCCCTGGGCCCTTTCCCAGTGCTCTCACTCTGGCACCCCATGAGCAGAGAGCTCTGCCAAAGTACCCCACTCCTCGTGGGCTTTTCTCCTGACCCAAAATAGCTGTGGCTTGGCATGTGCCTTGGAGAAGGGTGAAGCAGAATGCAAAGCTAATCTCTTGGCCAGTTCTTTGCTGTGCAGGGTGGCTGCTGCTCTTGCGTCGCCCCAGCAGTGCTTTTGTTTCAGGCCAGTTTCTGAGGCTGCTCCCAGATCTGCACGTAGGATGAGATCAGGCAGGGGCTGGCGTTGCTGGGTCAGGGCGCAGGGCCGGGCGAGACCGTCACTGGTGACTGACACCACCCGAGAGACTGCTTTTATTTTTCAGAAGAAAAGTTGCTTTACAGTCTTTTAGGAGCAGTTAGAAAGTAACTGATTCCATACCCAAAGCAGTGAAACTGTGTTCTCTACCCATGGGAGCTGTGCTGCTGTCCAGTTCTTCACAGCCATGGGTTCCGGTGCCAGGATCAAGGCTGGGGATCCAAGATGACACCTTATGCTTTTGGCTTTATAAGGCTTTGGCTGAGCAAACTTGCCTGTCAGATGCTCTGAAGGCACTGAGCAAGGCATATGGGAAGGAAGAGTTGCCATCTCTTTTTTGCCACCAATTGCTACATGTACCTGAAGCCTTTTCTTACTAAGCCAGGGGTCGGGCTCCTTCCCCAAGGGTGAGCAGCCTGCCTTGCCTTGCATTTTCAGACCAGATATCAGGGAGCTAGAGCCACCTTTTGGACCCAGAGGGCTTGAGCCTGGAAGTGGGCCAGCCAGAGGACCAAGTTGGGTTTGTTAGTGCTGCTGAAACTTTGGGAGAATGGAGAGGTTTTCGGGGTTGTCCCGCTTTGGCAAGTGGACTTTGT